GGTCAAGTTATTGGCTCTATCTAAGGGTGGCATTCCTTCGGATAGATTCAGTAAGTTATCGATATTACTTATTGCTTCCATTATTCATTTAATTATAGCAATATCACTTTGCCCGATTGGGATTGATCTAGATCGGCCTTATATCTTATTTAACCCATCGTTTGTTAATCTAAATTTGATCTAATCTGCACTTTAAACGATGAGTTATGTTTTATCGGCTGTTTTATATCAATCTTAATCGTGCATAGCGTGCGGTTAAGGCGTGTTACATTTTGAGTGGATCTATTGGCTAGCGAAAACCGCTTCATGGCTCGTTATCACGACCTATGTGATTCTGCCTCACACCCCACTGTTAGCACCGTGGAATGGGGATCGTTATTTAGTAGATCTATTCCTGATAAGGCATGACCTTAACTGTGCGCTATGCCTGAATCAGCTGTTTTAGCCGATATCGAGTACTTTCATGAACAGTTCGTATCACGAGACCATTGAAGTAAAGATAGATTAAAAGATGTGTTAGCCCCATGATCTTATTATTGTATTACAGCCTGCATGATTCTGCCTCGTGCCCCACTGATATTAGGAATGAGTTAGGGTCATTGAGTCTATTGTTGTTTCTACGGCCTGCATGATTCTGCCTCATGCCCCACTGGTCATAGCGATAGATGAGATCTAATATGTTCATTAGATTTATCTTTATTAAATGGTTAAATGGTGTTGAATTGTTTCTTTATATAAAAGGGGTTCGGTTACTTGTAATCATTGGCTCAGTATAAATCCATCATTGTTAGCATCTTATTGCCATTGATTAATATTTGCTCAAATAATGATATCTATCTTGTATGATAACCGATTTTTCTTACGCAACTCCATGACCTTTAATCGATTTATTCTTATGAATATGCTGGAATCGACTATTTAATCGATCTCCTCTCATATCGGCTCTCAGAGCCGCACATTTGGGACTGTCTGGCAACACCGGCAAGTTCCGCCCGAAATTACTGATAAACTTTCTCTCCTTGTCAATTGCAGGGTCAAATTGACTGGCACATCTCGGGAGGATTGCACAGGATTAACCATCCCTGCGCTGAAGCGAGGCGGATCTGCTCCATCGAGCGGACCCTTCCGGCTTGCTGCGTGTGTCCTCGGCACGGAGACGGAAATTCTGTGTCGACAGTGGCAAAAGGCAACAAGATGTGGTGCAAGGAAAAGATTGGAGACACACGGCTGCAACTTGCCATCGTGAAGGAGGTGCTATTACAGCTTGAAGCAGCACAGGAAACCAGGACACTCACGGCATAGCAATTTGACTTGTGCCGCTGGTTAAAAGCAAGAAGTATGGGACTTGGACCCATAGAAAAATCAAGAATTAGACAACGCTCCACACTAACATACATCCGCTGTGGAGATGCAAACATAAAAAATTTCCACATTCGTGCCAGCACAAGGAGGAAAACTACATCCATTGTAGCACAAGGAGGGGGGAATAGCTGTTACCCATGGTGATAAAGAAAAGGTGATTGCAGATTACTTCTCAAGCCACCTTGGCTCGGTCACGCAGAGGTCATTGAACTTCAATTAGTCTACACTTGGCCATGTCCCAAGAGATCTTTCGATGCTAGAGGCACCGTTCACACAAGAGGAGATCAAAGACACAATAAATTCCATGCCATCTGATAAAGCACCAGTTCCAAATGGCTTCAAAGTTGCCTTCTTTAAAACTTGCTAGGACATTGTTCAGGAGTACGTCATAGCTGCCCTGAAACAGCCTATTCATGCTTAACTCCCAAGGTTTCGAGCTGCTGAACTCGGCAAACATTATCCTACTCCCAAAGAAAGCGGATGCCTCTCAAGTAACGAACTTTCAGCCAATAAGTGTCATACACAGCTTCGCAAAGATTTTTGCCAAACTTCTTGAAAATAGACTAGCGCCCAGGCGAGACTCCCTAGTTTCAAAATACCAAAGTGCGATCATAAAAAATAGGAGCATCCACGACAACTTCCTTTACGTCCAAAACAAGGTGCGGACCTTGCAGAAAATGAAGTTGCCTACCCTATCCTTGAAGCTCGACATCCACAAAGCCTTTGACACGGTCAGCTAGAGCTATCTTCTCGAGGTTCTGCAGACACTAGGTTTCGTACCACGATGGCACGAGTGGTGTCCATCTTATTTTGTACCACCTCGTCGAGAGCACTGCTAAATGGACAGAAGGGGCCGACCTTCAGCCATAGGAGGGGGGTCCGGCGGGGGACCACCTACTAGACATGGCAACATAGCATGGCGTCCTCACTGCCCTACCCCTACCAATAGCAAGATGGAGAACTTCCATGTATGCTAATGATGAAGCAATTTTCATTTACCCACTCAACAAAGATCTAGAGGCCACCACAACCATCCTGCACAAGTTTGGCAAAAACTCGATCTTGCGCATAAACTTGCAAAAGAGCTCAGTGCACCTGATCAGATGCCAAGATATCAACCTATACCATGTCCTAGCCTCCTTTACTTGGGCTAAGAGAATCCATCCTGTGCCGCTATCTGGGGCTACAACTACATACAAGATCCTTGCAGAAGGTCGTACAACCCTTCATCGAGCGCATCAGCTAGAGGCTATCATGTTGGAAAGGTAAGATGCTAAACAGAGGGGGTAGGCTAACTTTGGTCACCACGGTTCTATCTTTGATGCTGACATACCACCGCACAATGTTCCCACTTGTGGCTTGGGCAAGAAAGAAGATTGATAAAATCAGAAGATCCTTCTTGTGGAAAGGAGATGAGAACGCCAATGGAGGACATTGCTTGGTGAATTTCCTGCCAGTGTGTAAGTCTAAGAAGCTGTGAGGAATGGGAGTACCGGACCTGGAAAGATTTGGGAGAGCTCTTCGCCTCCGATCGATGGCTGTGGCAGGAATGGGTAGACGACACAAAGCCATGGGTGGGAACGAAAGTACCGTGCAACAACACAGACCACCTCCTTTTCAACTCCTCTACCACAATCACAATCGAAAACGGTAACAAGGATCGCTTTTGGCATCATAATTGGCTTGACGGAGAGGCACCTAGATACTTGGCGCCACACCTGTTTCAGCTAGTGCGCAGGAAGAATAGAACAATGAGTTAGGAACTACGCAATTGGATCCAATCGCTGCGGGTGCATGTGAGAACAACAACATAGCTCCAAGAATTTATTGGGCTTTGAATCAGATTACAAGGGGTGCAGCTACAGTCTGATGTGCAGGACACAATCACTTGGAAGTGAACAGCCGATGGAGTTTACTCCACACGTTCGGCATACTTGATTCAATTCAGAGGATCCCATCAAAAATTCAAGCACAAACTCATCTGAAAGGTGCAAGTATAAAACAAATGCAAAGTGCACGCTTGGATCCTAATGCACAACAAAGTCCTAATGGCAGACAACCTGCAAAAGAGGGGATGGCCTCATCAGGAACATTGTGTTTTGTGTAATGGACCTTTGGAGACAGGGCTTCATCTCTCTTTACTTTGACCCTTTGCAAAGGCTATTTGGGGCCAAGTGTTAGCTTGGGAAAATCTCATGGTGCAGCTGCCTGTAGCAAGACCACCCCTGCATTGCCGAATGGTGGGAAGATGCAGCAAGCAAGATCCCAAAACATGAACGTAGACATTTCAATGGAGTACTAATATATATTGTGTGGAACTTGTGGATGGAGATGACTAGAAGGATTTTTTAGAACGAGTTCAAGACGGCTAAGGTTGCCTCATTGACAAAGAGGATATTGTGCAAAGGCACAGAGCTTTTCCCTTTGCGGGGTGAAAAAACTGATGGTGGGAGTATCTACTTTGGTCCTAGGGCCAGTCTGATTGGCCCAATGGGTGTCATGTGTACATAGAACACTCTATTTCGTATACTTAATTGATTCTTTCCAAAAAAAATTAGTTATTCTGTTGAACATAAGGTTATCACACTACTACTGTAACTATCTTTAGAGGCCACCATTTTACATTTACAGATGTGGGCGTTAATCGGCCATTTGCCAAGGCGTGTGTGCGACCGTCTTTATAAATTGATTAACAGATGCAGGGAACTTAAGATGCCCGCCTCGGAACATAAGAGAACTCAAAGTTTAACAATGGCTGTGTGAGTATGTGTAACAGAGGGAGCACATTAAGAATCGCTGGTTTATAGCAAGTCGGGTCACAAGTACTGTGTTTCAGTTGATCAGACAAGGTGTGGTTGCTCTTGCTCCAATCCAATCTTACACAGTTCACCATAGATATTATCGCCTAATTAAGTTGATAATATATTTATTGCAGTCAGTCAGCAGCATACGCGTACAGTCCCTGTTGTCCGATACGTCATACAGCCTAGAGCTTCACAGATGCGACAAGAACAACAGTCAATCATTTGCTGGCAACTGGCATGAATCAACAGTTATTTCTTGTTTATTGCAGTTGCCGTCCACGACTAGAACAACGACTAGCAGCAGCTTCCTACCGGTTTCCTTGGATGAAGAAGAGAATCAAGCACGTAATTTTCAGTCTTCATGAAGAGATTGAAGGTTCCAAGCATGTAATTTTCACTTGACCAGTTTTTCAAAACAATCAGACGCAACCGCAGTGAACTTTAAACGAGACTTTTGTGCCTACTAGATAATGATGCAACGTAGTATTTTTTCCCCGATGAGTCTACCGTAGTACTAACAAGCATCCAACACTTTGAGGAGCTGTTCGTTTGGCCAATTTTCGAAATACAGTTGCCCAGATTATACTATCATATCAGTCATCAGTTGTCCTTTATGTTCTTGTCTGATCCAACATCCAAGCTAGTGCAGATTATATATATAATATATATACAGATATATATGTCTCCTAGTCCTGGGAGACAACCTCCTGATCGATCACGGAGAAACACTTGAAGGCGACCATATATTTCTCCCTAGCTATAATGCTATATATTTATGTGAGGAGGTTTGCAACAAGAAGGAGCGAGCGCTGAATGCTCATCGAGAGCCGCCAAATGGTTCGCAGGCAGCTGAGAGTGCTGTCCACTCTGGATGTGGCCAGGACACAGCTCTACCACTTCATGGCGATCGTGATCGCCGGGATGGGCTTCTTCACCGATGCCTATGACTTCTTCTCCATCTCCCTCGTCATCGACCTCATCTCGTACCAGTTCTACGATGGACAAATGGGCAGCGGCGTCCAAGCCGCCATCAGCGGCATCGCCCTGTGCGGCGCCGTGCCGGGGCAGCTCGTCTTTGGCTGGCTCGGCGACAAGATGGGCCGCAAGCGCATCTACGGCGTCACGCTGGTCCTCATGGTGGTCACCTCCCTCGCCTCCGGCCTCTCCTTGAGCAAGCGCCAGGGCAAGAACGTGGTCACCGTGCTCTGCTTCTTCCGCTTCTGGCTCGGCGTCAGCATCGGCGGCGATTACCCGCTCTCGGCGACCATCATGTCCGAGTACGCCAACAAGAGGAGGCGCGGCGCCTTCATCGCGGCTGTCTTCGCCATGCAGGTGATTATTCCTAACTTGCTTGCGAATAAGAATAACCAATGCTTCTGGCCCCTAGAGCGCCGTTAAGGCGTGCAAACTGTTTTAATTACCTTAATACAAAGATACGTAAACCTTTTACGTGATCAAGAAAAAGAATATCCAATGCTTTTAACTAGCAAACAACATCAGATTTTATTTGTAACTAATGAATGCATCATCTGCGCTGCTTGATGGAATCATCACAGGGTTTTGGCAATCTTGCAGCGGGGATCGTAGGGATGGTGGTGTCGGCCGCTTTTACGAACAGTAAAAAATCCAACGCTGACTACGTGTGGCGAATTGTTCTCATGTTCGGCGCCGTTCCGGCTACCCTCACCTACTACTGGCGCATGAAGATGCCGGAGACGGCGCGGTACACTGCCCTAGTCGCCAAGGACGCCAAGAAGGTAGCCTCCGACATGTCCACCGTCCTCAACATGCACATCGTCCCGGAGGACGAAACCGTCGACGATCTCGCCCGGCATGACCAGTACGGTCTGTTCTCGGTGGAGTTCCTTCGCCGCCATGGCGTCCACCTCCTCGGCACCAGCGCGTGCTGGCTCGCTCTCGACATTACCTTCTACTCGCTCAACCTGTTCATGAAGGACATTTTCACCACCATTGGGCTGCTTAAGCTACACCAGGGCGACGACCCATTCAAGAGGATGATTCATATAACTGCACTGCACACGACCCTCGTGCTCTGCTTTTCACTACCAGGGTACTTCTTCTCAGTCGCGTTCGTGGACCGCGTCGGCCGTGTCAGGATCCAGCTGCTAGGGTTTGCCATGATGTCTGCCTTCATACTCTGCCTCGCAATCCCTTATGCTCACTGGACTGATGAACACAACAAGTACGGCTTCGCTGTCATGTATGGCCTGACCAGCTTCTTTGCCAATTTCGGCCCCAACACCACGACATTCATAATTCCGGCGGAGATCTTCCCGGCACGACTACGTTCGACATGCCATGGCATATCTGGGGCATTCGGTAAGATCGGCGCCATTATTGGTGTGTTTGGCTTCGTCTACGCCCAAAGACATCGCCACATCCGAAGCATGCTGTTCGCGCTCGTTGGGTGCAACCTTGTGGGCCTTGTGTTTACACTGCTCCTGCCGGAGTCCAAGGGGAAGGCACTGGAGGATATCACCGGAGAGATGGAAGAACCACCGCAGCCGGAACTGGAGGCTGCAGCAGTTGCTGCGGCCGACTATGTACATGTGGTGCCTGTTTAAATGTTTAGTGAAGTTGTGTACGTTGTAGGTATTTTTTTTTTGGTGTGCTACCTCCATTTTTTTGGCAGTGTGTGGTACTACCTTAGCTTGTTGATATATATAGGTCATTTTTTGTTGTCTTGTAAATATTCATGTATTTATGTGGGTTGGTAACAAAATATTTCATCAAATCCTCCTCACCACTTAACATTTAAGGTCACATAACGAGAAGATGACCTCATATTTTGCACCATGAGTCTACTATAGAACACAAAATCTCTGTTGACCTATCATTGTCGGATGTGCATGAATCAAGAGTTACCCGGCATCAATGTCCGCTCGTAAGCCTAGGATACATACAAATAGTTGGGATCTGAATGACTAGGCAGTGAAGCCCCCTATCATTGTTAGTTTGAGTGATGACTCGACGGTGATATATAACTGCCGGCTAACGCCACAAACTAGCAGTGATGGTTGGGATGTTACTGTATCAGTCCACAACCTGGCATTGATATGCCAACGCCGGGTAAGGACCTGACCCATCAGCAATATAAGGATCACTGCCAGGTTGTGGACTTGGCGGTGCTAGGGACCATTAAGCACTTTTTATTTCGTTCTCACCGTCGGATCCGGCTACCACCATTGCCTCTAGATATAAATCATGCATTCGGGGACACAAACATCTCCCCGCATGGGTAGCTGAAGTCCCCTGCTTGTAGTCACACTAATCTAGTAATGCTACTCATTGCTTCACCATTTATAGTCTCAATATATACCCCCTGTGGGAGGAACTCAATTTTTGAGAGCCCTCTACATATACACTACCTTTGTAGTCAAGATGGTGCACGAGAGGTAATAGAAGAATGTTTGTAAAGACCATTGCTACAAAATCGATTTTCAGCAGCAGGAGCTTTTTTAGAGGCGGGTCAATTTACAGCCATTTGTGCAGTGGACTCCAAATCGAGCTGCCTCTAGAAATGCATTTGTAGAGTTGACTGTTGTTCCCAGCCGCTTCTACAAATGGCCCTATTTTGTAGATGGCTCCATTTTCAGCCACTTCTATAAATCGATTTCCAACAGCCTCTTAAAATAGGACCTGCATAGTAAATTTGAGTTTTTGCAACAACCTCAGATAGAGAAAAGATCAAAACAAAAGTTGTAGATCTCAAGAAGTTATGCAACTTTGTAGTTGACAACTTTTTCCATTTGAAATCATTTATGCATAGAAAATGTATTTGTCACATTTGAAATTTAAAATTTTGAAACGATCTCGGATGGAAAAATGACCAAACCAAAAGTTGCATATCTCAAAAAGTTATGCAACTTTGTGGTTGAATAGTTTTTCATTTGACATCATCTATGCACGGAAAATCTACATTTGAATTTGCAACCTTTCCAATTCAAAATTTTCAAACGACCTTGGATGGAGAAATGACCAAAACAAAAGTTTTAAATCTTGAAAAGTTATGCAAGTTTGTAGTTGACAACTTTCTTATTTGAATCTATGAATGGAAAATCTATATTTGAATTTCTCACATTTAAAATTCAAAAGTTTCTAACGATCTCAGATGGACAAATGATCAAAACCAAAGTTGTAGATCTCGAAAAATTATAAGACTTTGTGGTTGACAACTTTTCATTTGAATACGTTTAGGGTCTCAAATACTCATTTCAAAACCGAAGGAATATAAAATAAGGAGGATGAATATCCTAAGTGGACACAAGTGTCTTATGGGTGGAGTGGTTAGGGGTGGAACGCATGAGGGTTGAGGTCGCGGGTTCGAGCGACGGCCGTGTAGCGTGCGTTTTTTGTGTGAAAAATAGTTGTGACCTATGACTGAGAGCATTCATTGTGCCCCTGTGGCTGCCAAGTGGGGGTCTCTGGGGATTAAAAATAGTTTGCTATTTTTTCGGCCTGAATTTGCATTTTCTGGACAGCAATTTGTAATGGCAGCTCTAAATTCAGCCACCTCTACAAATCGATATCTAGAGGCGGCTACTATTCCTAGGTCCTCTTAGAGGCGGCAAGAGAACCACCTCTACAAATTGTTGATTTGTGGAGATGGAAGAGAACAAGTGGCTGGGCCAACTGCCTCTATAGAGGCATCCTAGCCATATCTAAAAATAAAATCTGTAGTAGAGGATGGAGCCATGCTGAAGCCAAGATGCACTGGCCAGCCATTTGGTTATTGAGTTACACGACGTTTGAGCTAGAGGCATTGTCTCATCACTACTTGTAGCCCTAATGACTCCTCGGCCCCTCTACCATGCTCTAGCACCTCTGAGATCCTATATATGCTATAGCAGAAGAAGGTTTGTGAGGTCGCTATGTTATAACATGTGCTGTAGACTCTGATGCTAACATTGGCCTAGTCAGAAAAGTTTGTACCTCTTTCATGAAATGGTCTTTGTTATTAGTGATGAAAACAAATTGGGGCGGTGTGGATAATGCCTCCCCCATATCCTAATCTGCTTTTCTTTATCGAATTCGGTACGGGAGTGGATAATACATGGATGTGGATGCGGATGCGGTTTTTTCGATGTCGGAACTGGTATGGATATATGGAGTAGAATAGGATTGAAGATGGATTTAAATAGTAGAGTAACATGTGCATATGTAGAGAATTATATGCTTGTCAACTATTGATTTAGTAAAGAACAAAGAATAAGTAATAGATAATAATCTTGCATTGCATTCCTTGTTGTGGCTATCACATTGACACAATTAACACTTAACATGGTATCTTCACTCAAAAATGATAGGCTGTTAGCCAATAAGTAATAACATCTAGAAAATTCTTAATTTAGAAATTAGAACATCAAACAATCGTATCACAAAATAGGAGTTCTCAATGAACAAGTTTTTCTAAAATCTTGAATTCCACTTGGTTTTAGTTTGGGGAGAGAAACTTTTGGATATCTTATTTTAAATATCATATAATCTGCATAGAATTCTAGGATAATCCATATTCGCCGGATTTTATCTATTCCATATTATATCCTGCATCTGCACATAATCGGATTTGGATTATCCATATCCACATGGATATTAAAAGTTCTTCTCCATATCCTCAAAAATTGGATTCAGATCAGATCAGTTTAGAGAATTATGTGTACCACTTGCACCCCCTATTTGTTATCGTATAATGGTTTTTTAAGATCTTTGTTATCATATAAAACTTGTTGTAGGGACTATGATGCCTAAGGGGTGAATTAGGCTTTCTAAAATTATGCTCAAAACTATGGTCTCTAACTTCCACTTATCTTAAAAGTTATGCAATAGAGTAATATATCAAGATGTGCAACTATAGTTTTGCTGGGTGTATTGCTATCTCTACCATAGAAGAGTTACACAACCTAGGTTTCAATCATATCAACTAGCCTAGCAAGCTAACGAGAATATTACGCACACAACATAAGGTGTAGCATTATGGTCCAATAACACAACTATTAAATGCTTACAACGGTTTGGGTTGTTATATTCAACCCCCCCTCAAGGCTGACGCCTATGGCAGCTCACTATATATGCAACAGAAGCTGAGAACCACCCATTGGTACACCTCTCCATAAGCACATGTAGCAAGGGTTGATGTTTTGAATATCATCTGTAATCTCACCACATATGCAGCAGATGTCGAGAACCACCCTTGGTATACCTCCCCATGGGCACATGCAGCAAGGAATGATGCTCTGAATACATTAGTACACCTCTTCACGGGCACATGAAGTTAGGGTTGATGTTCTGAATACACCCACCGGTACACCTCTTCACGGAATGCTTTGAATACCATCTATAATTTGTAACACCTTGCATCTAAAATTTGTTTATATGGCCGAGCTCAACACGTGGAACAGGCCAGCATATGCATAACACCTCTCTTGCATTTCATGCTCGCTTTGTATAAAAGGATTAATCCACAGGTGCTACGTTTGGAAGGACAAGGACTATAAGTTGTCCCTCACCCTCCTAAACTTCCAAAGTGGTATTAAACCCACCAACTCCAGCTTCACATGCCACATGGGCTACATGAGCTAACAACACAGCTACTACATGCTTTTAACATGCTGATGTGTTACAATCAGTAGTGACACTACGACAACAATTACATCTTCTGGCATAGTGTGAATGTGAATTCGGAAAAGGAACCATTGGATCCATCCCTTGATTGCATGGATGCCCTCTTGCTCGACCATCTCGTGCAACCGAAGGGCGTTGCCAAACAGCCACCGTATCGTAGCCATTGACATTGACACGGTGACAGCTCTGAAATTAAAAAGAAAAGGCCACACGGCTGCAGTCATTGTAGCCCTGTATGATTCATTTCCGTAGGCTGTGTTTGGTTGTAGAAACCAGGTGGGACGTGATGGGATGGCTCCGGGACAAGTGGTGTTTGGTTGGGAGGCCAGCAGTGGTGAGGACGTCCCACCTGGGAATATTCCTGTGAGACACGGGGCGACCTCATCCCTAGTAATTTCGCGGACAAGGTCGCCCCAAGTGGGATGAGCGGCTGACTGGTGAGGAAGAAAGGAGAGGAGTGCGCTGGTCGCAGATGGGGCCGCGTGGGTCGCGCGTGAGGACGCGTGGGTAGAGGCAGGGGCCGCTCGTGCGGGGCGGCTACACCAGGGCGCGAGGGCGGCGGCATAGGCCGCGCTTGCGGTGCGAGCGTGGGCGCGAGCTCTGCACGTCGGTTGGGGATGAAGAAGATAGGGAGAGGAGGAAGATAAAGAAAAAAAAAACAGACAAATGGGCCCTGCTGTCGGTGTCTGATTCCACTTTTGATGTCTCCGGTTGATCTCATCCTTTGTCAAATATAAAACATATTGGTCTCATCCTTTATCAACCAAATAAAAGATGGGCCCATCCCATCCTTCAAATTAGAGATAGGACCATCCCAGCCCATCTTATCTCCCGACCAAACGTTACCTTAAACATTGAATTCATCAAACTCTTGACGTATGTTCATATGTAAAGTAAATCTGACATTTTCCTTTCGCTGAAAATTGCATGCATCTACTGAAAA